ATAATACGTTTAAAGGTCAACAAATTTCTTAATAAACAAACTAAATAACAATACAACAAATTGAATACCAACCGTCTTCCATAGAGAATATAAATGTTGAACATACACACTACTCTCACGTACATTCCGAATATCACAGAAGAGAAACATAAAAAGAGTCTTAAACACAAAAATTTCTTCTCCAAAAATAGCATTTATATATTAGAGCAAAAGCAATAATTTGTTCTATTCTTTGAAAGTACAATGTATTATATATGAAATACCCAGTGTAATATACAGGTTTAGCTGTATAGAAGTGACACATATTATATTACTTAAACAAAACAATGGTTATATTTACGCAGACAACATTTATTTTAATTTGGTCAAAAAGTGAAAAAGTTATGCCAAAAGGTTTAACAAAAAAAACATCACATTTCATGTTCGAGCTGCCTGCCTTGCGTAAAGATGAAAAGATTTGTCTTTTCAACCACTCTTCTCTGGTGCTCAAAGCGACAGAGACAGGAGAGATGGATTGACAAGCATTTTCTATCCTTTACCGCTGTTGTTCAACTGAGGTTGCTGGGTTATGATGGGCGTAGACGCACTGATGTTTCAATTGCCCCACAGAAAATAGTCAAGTGAGTTCAATCGGGTGACGTCGAAGGCAAACAGATCGGGACATGAGGTCTTCATATCCACTTATCCCGGACGTGACTATTCAAATATGTCTCACCTGCAAACAATTGTGTGCGGGGCATCCATCAAGCTGGAGAATCATTCTTGTATACTCTTAAATACTGCTATTGTTTTTGTTTTTTTCGTTAATAATATGTTACAGCATTTTGTTCTATCTGTTTATCTTGTTTGTATTAGACAGATCAGGCATAAACAACTATGTCGTAAATTCTGCAATTGACACTCTCACTCACACAGACACACAACTATATACATACACATATAAGTTATAGTAAATTCTATATTAAATGTCTTTATGCATATCATTAGATTATTTATATATGTTGAGGAACAATTAATGGTTTTGTGTGTAAAATTTAATGATTTCAGAATAGCCAACAAAAGATCATGATTGTCTAAGTATTGTCTGCGTACTGTGATTGTAATAAACATGAATGAATGAATGATTGATTGATTGATTGATTGATTGATTGATTGAGAGAGAGAGAGAGAGAGAGAGTGAGAGAGAGAGAGAGAGAGAAAGAAAGAGAGAGAGAGTGAGTGAGAAAAGAGGGAAGATTGAGAAAAAGACAGACTTAGAACATAAGAAATCAATGAAGAAATGCAGTGAGTAACGTTTGCTACTTTATGTCAATGGAACGCTACGATGTCGCGTTGTGAACCTTACAACGATTATTCCACATCTTTGAGTTTGTTTTCAACACATCTTTGCCAAACAGTTATAATGCAAATCTAAAACGTAGATATTTAAAACTTCTAACGATTTATTGAAGCACGACTTTCTTCTTCACTTAGTGGTGTCCGGAATGGCACTGTTAGTTAACGTTTTCCGTTAAATACGCCTTCAGACGTCAGTTGACGGCTCTTTTATGGGCCCATTAGGAACATTCGATTTTTAACTGGAGCGTTAATGGGATGCCGGAGTTCGCTCCTTCCGAATCGGTTTTTCGATCGGCTCTGCTAAGTGACAAGTTGTTACCCACCCCATTCAACTGATCCGCCTTCAATTCAGCAAAAAACCTCCCGAAAACTAGGGTCCCTTTTTATTGGCATAGCCAACTTCTTAGGAAGTTCTACGTTTAAATGAAGTTTGCCTCTGCGTCCGATCTCATACACCCTCCATCTTGGATGTGAAACAAGGATGCATACCATTGACGTTCTAACAAATTTAAAGTCTTACCTGTTACTTTTATTTATCTCGTTTTTGTTTTGTTTTCAGTATCTGGGCTCTTTTCCAGTCAACGTTCAAGAGCAAGCGGCCAGAGCTGAGTTAATAAAGAACAAATTAGAACTCCTGAGAGTAAGTCTTATTCAATTAACTAGTCTCTTTCTGCATTATTATTATTGACACTCGATCGAACACCAAGTTAATCGTATTTTGAGATAAAATAAATATAATTTAGAGCTTTAATAATAAAAATATAAAAAAATGATCCTTTTGTGCAAGTATGCAAATTTGAACTTTTTAATAAACCAATAACTAATAATATTTAATAAAGTGCTAAACTATCACCACAAAGCCTTATTTTAATTAAATTTGCTTAAGATGACGGTTTCTTAAAACTAGTAATACCACCACTGAAGATGGAGCAAAGCCATAGCAGCGATGATAGGCAAAACAAAATGTTCGGACCTACTACTGCACTGCATATGTTGATGAGTATAATATATAAACACATTATTTGGGCTCTGTTGCGTGGTTTTAGTGGACTGTAAGAATTAAAAGAAAAGAAATTATAGTGAATAAAAATAAAAATGAACTCACCTTCTGCTGCTGCTCAGGATTTAAAACGATGGGTACAGGGGGGAAATGAAACGAAAAGAGTGTTGATGATGGGAATAGGGATGGGAAACCCTTACCTCTTCTGGGCAAACTCCAGCGAGAGCTTCAGGGGGTGAATTCGCCACGATAGTTGCGTGAGAATTAATAAGCTTAAATGTTCTATCTCTGCAACCAACGGTCTGAAGAAATCGCGATGTGAACGGACCAACTGACCAAACGAACGGAATTAATACGCTTTATCTCCGACTGCGGTACGTGGACTGATGCAGGTCAGAGCAAGGTGGGGCCGAGCACCGGCCTCCCGGTCCATAGTTCAATGGGTGTAAACAGGCTCTATAAAACGCGAAAATATGGTTTGAATACTGAAAAATGAAAGTAATCTCATGGACTAGGAGACAAATTCAGTTTCTTACTAGAGTAAAATGGCATGAGTATTTTATAACAAATTCAGCAAGAGGGCCTTTAAATGTGGTTTCTCGTAAACTGCTTGAAAAACGCCATCATTCCTGTTAACGACGAAAGAAAGGATAAAGTATTCTGTTGAATACAAATTTCCTCCTCAAGTATTGTATTTTATATTTCGCAAATATCTTACTCAATGCATTATTCTGTGGTCCAGTAATATGTAAAATCTCTACAAGAAGGCTCTCAACTCCGGGGATTTTCCGCTATTTCACCCTCCTATTTTAATTCATTCGTCAAAAAATTTCTCCCTGTTTCCATCCGGAACGAGTTGTATAATTCACCAATTTAATCCAAACAGCCGTCTGAGCCGGCGGGAGCGTAGAGATAAAAATGTTGCCCCACAGCTTTTAGACTTACAAATTAGTAAAGGCGGTGATGATAAGTGATTTCACCTTCAGGATCCTCCTCCCTTGTAATTTGCCAGAGCTGCTGTTTTGAGTCATTTGTATTGCAGCCGTCTGCTGCGCCCAACTAATTATTCCTATTTATGCAGAAGTTTTCCTTCTTGCTGGTACCAAGGGGGTTAGCTTTTCCAGAATATAAATGAACTCTGATAAATAACCGGCTCAGCGGATAAAGTTGTTTGAAATATTAGTGCTTATAAAATCCTGATCTGCCCCCTCACGAATTTCGACATTTCAATTTCCATGCGCAAAACTTACATTGTTATATAGTAACTTGTTGAATTAATAACATGCTGATTTCGACAACATCAATATAGAAGATATGTTTTGCTAATTTCAGTTTATTTTATTCTATGATTTATCTAGGATCACTCACCTCATCATGATTTGATTTTTATTTAAAAAGGTATGTCGTACTTTTTTCAAAAATTAATATACCCTCATAAATTTTTGATAAATAATGATTTATATCTACTTTTCGTCATTAAGTCAACATAAAGTTCTAGATACTAAGTCATAAGATTAATATTACGTTGGACTAATTGCAAGTTAATTAGTTTTAATTTTTAAAGTAAACGAAAATGCAGAATGCAGACAAATACTTCTTCGAAAATACAGAAAGTTAGCTTCTGTCGAACAAAACTAATTCGTACCGATTCTCATGAATATAACATTTGGTTTAAATAATTAAGGTTTTTAGTTGAGATAAGTTAGTGTCCCGAGCGGGATTCGAACCCACGACCTTCGGCTAGATACGTCGCTACTCTGCTAATTGAGCTATCGTGACTTCGATCCACTCGGACACTAACTTCCATCTCAACCCCACTTTTTGAATTTTCCCTCTTTTTGTCTCCTAATCAGTGATCATGTCGGCGTAAGTTATTCAAAAACCTTATATAAGTGAAGTACACACACACACACACACACACACACACACACACACACACACGCACGCACGCACGCATATATATGGTTATATATATGAACATACGGACTAGGTATTTTATTCAGTCAAACTCCAAAGGAAAATTCTTTGAAAAATTTGCTACGGTCCATTTCATTATTCGTATGTTCATATATATAAAACGGCGGGCTAAGGAGATAATATATGAAAAATGGAATAAATTAAACAAAAATTGGGGAGAGGGGCATTTTTCACATCCATAACCTTAAGTATCTATGGGTATCCTTGGTTTTATCCATGTGGAATGACAAAAAAGTCTGCACAATAATTATAAAATTCATTGAAAGATCTCAGATTATAGGATCTTGGAATATGTGGTCCGCAACTTCATAAGATTGGAGGAGACTCTAGGCCATAGTTTGGAATGATCGTTATTCAATTAATGTGTTTGAAGGGATAGCAGAACTTTTATGAACTCGCCGGATCCTTCTTGGGCAAACGGAACATTTAAAAGTATGTGGCTTCATTGGTCACATAAAATGGACCGTAGCAAATTTTTCAAAGAATTTTCCTTTGAGAGTTTGACTGAATAAAATACCTATACCTGAAATAAATACCTCATGTACACTTTTGTTTGGCAATGATACATTTATCCGTTGTCAGGTAATCGTGATAGAATTCTGTCCCAAACCGAATTCTAACTTCTGTTAAAAAGTTAACGTAAAAAACAAAATTTAAAACTGAAATTAGTTGTGTATTAAAACAATTGTATGATATCGCAAACTGAATTTATTGATGGTCGTTTAGCTGTTTTTGTAGATTTAGGACTCCTCTGGCGGTGGCTTTTTGAGGATAGACTTCGGAGGGGTTGCGGTCGGGTTGGGCTTGAACGTGCTTAATTCCTTCAAACTGGTCTCTGATAAGGATGTGGCCATTTTTTTCATCATAGCGATCGTGTTTGCTGCTTGTTGGTCGCGTTCCTCTTCCTCCGGGATGACACGGTTTGCCTCCTCGAGAAGCCTTTTCGTACTATAGACGGTATTGGCTTTGTCCATTCTTTCCAGCTGTGTGCAAGGCTCGCAAGTTTTCATGTCAAAGTTTTCCAACGACCTCTTGAAGATTCTTTAAAAAAAAAAATTAAATTAAATTAAAAAAAATAAATAAATAAAAAATGGAAAAAAATGAGAGAAGTCCTTATTAAAGGAAGTACTTACTCATGGTATTTATCGATGGACTTTTTCAGACCGGTATGCTGCGAATTGGCCAAATATCCTTTAGCTAACAATATACGTTTTTCCATATCTTTTAATTGCTCATCCAAATTCCCAGGGTTTATTCTCGAAAGAACATCACCTGGGTTTTTCTTTGTAACAGCGTTAAATCTGATAAAACAAAGAAATTAATCGAATTTAAAAATCCGAAACGCATGCAATTACAGCATAAAGCTATAGTACATCCGTAAATTCATACCAAACTCGGTATTCACTATCTCCAAGTATCTTTTATATCTTGTATCTTTTCAATGTTTTGTGGCTTAAGTATTGTATGTGGCTATAAATTAGATTTCCAATTTGTATATTTTTATACATATTTATTTTAGGATCCGCTATCTAGTATAGACGCGTTTTTTGTGTTCTACTTTCATTGACTTATGACTCGACCTTAAATTGGGGGCTAGTCGATTTTGTTTGTTTTTGACTTTCCTTCTGAGTCAGTGAGTGTATGCGCGTTATTATTTTTGTGCGGAATCTGGAGGGCGAAGCATTGCAGCGGAGCTTGACGCCTACTGCTACTCAACAAGGTTAGAGTTCCCAATCAGGTAAGGTTCAATTCGTTATTCTGGCAACCCGTATACCCTCAATATGGACCTAAGTGAACCAGAACTAACCTCTAGTGAAGAGGTACGTTCCAATACATCTTCGCAGTTTTATTCTTTACAAAATAAAAGACCTCCACCATCTGGCAATTCTCTCAAAAATAAAAAAAGAAGAAAGGCAGACCGACTAAAAATAATTTGATAGATGAAAATAGAGACCAAATAGAAGAAAATTCTAAACCAAATGAGATCCTCACAATTGGGCAGCCGTCAAAGAGTAGCGATATGCCACCATGTTTTATTACAGCAAATCCATTTGCTCCATTAGCGGAGTTGAACGGAGAAAATAAAACAGCTGAGATTAAGCAACCTTCCAAACCCGTTAAACCACCACCTATATTTCTTAAAAACATTNCGAACTAAACATAGTGCTACATGACAAACGAATAGACATAGCACTAATTACTGAGGCGCATTTAACAACTAACTCTTTTCTTACTATCAAAGACTACATTACTTACACGACAGATCACCCTTCCGATAGGGCGCAAGGCGGCACTGCAATACTCATCCGTCGCACTTTATCACACTTTGTAAACATATCATACACATCTTACACACTAATGTCCACTTCCATCACCTTAAATACCTACTCCTTCCAATTGAATATTGCAGCTGTGTATTGTCCTCCTAACCAAGATTTGTCACAACACGAATTCCTATCTTTTCTCCGATCACTTGGACCTCATTTCATTGCTGGGGGTGACTTCAACGCTAAGCACCCACAGTGGGGTTGCCGTGTTTCTGACCCACGTGGACGGAACTTCCTTAACTCGTTATCCTCAACCACTTACACTGTTATTACACCTCCAAACCCAACGTACTGGCCAACATCTACTCGTAAACTTCCTGATATAGTACATTATTTTATAACATCCGGAATCTCTTCAACCCATCTGGATATTTCAAATTCATTTGATTTTTCTTCTGATCATAGCCCAGTTCAATTAATTCTAAATTCTGCCCCTTCCATTGTACCAAAATATGCTTGCCTAATAACTGAACCTACAGATTGGAAAAATTTCCAAACAATAATAAACAAAAATGTTAAAAACTGCAGAAGAAATTGACAAAGCTGTAGACGATTTTATAAAATTAATACAGCATGCAGCATGGGTGTCAACCTCCATACCACCACCTCGAAATAATCAGCAGTTATTATTACCTCCACACATTCGGCTACTTCTAACTGAAAAGAGAAGGGCCAGGGCAATCTGGCAGCGTAACAGATATCCGAGTGATCATCGACGGATGAACCAACTCGCGAGAAAGCTGAAAGAAGAACTGGCAAAACTTAGGGCTGAATGCAACTCTCTTATCCTCCTAAAGCATTTACTCCATCAGACATACGACACACTATTCACACACTACCTTCACGAAAAGCTCCAGGTTATGATCTTATTACAAAACAAATATTACAACATTTGCCCCACAGAGGCTTACTATTATTAACATACCTATACAACGCTGTACTCAGGACCACATATTTTTCATTGCAATGGAAGTTCTCTATAATTAAAATGATTCATAAGCCAAATAAACCTTCTGATCTTCCAAATTCCTATAGACCGATTAGTCTAGAAAAACTACTTCTCCGACGATTACTGCCAATAATTGAAAATTCTAATATTATTCCAGATCATCAGTTTGGGTTCCGCACATTTCACTAGACAACTCAAGAATTACATCGTGTTGCTGACAATATAGCCTCTTCCCTCGAACAAAAACAGCATTGCTTGGGTGTCTTTCTTGATTTAGAACAGGCCTTCGATCGAGTCTGGCACTCGGGCTTGCTTTGGAAACTGAGGAACATCCTCCCTCATACGTACTATCTTATACTGAGATCTTATCTGACTGATCGATTTTGTCGAGTCAGTCAGGGAACTGAATTCTCACCTTATATACGCATAAGGGCGGGTGTTCCTCAGGGAAGCATACTTGGCCCTTTTCTATTTTCCATAAACACTGCAGATATTCCTACACACGTTGACATTTCGACACACACATTCGCTGATGATACAGCGATTCTTACACGCAATTCGGACCCCTCAATTAACACTCAACACTTACAACACCTGAATGAATTAACAATATGGTTCACAAAGTGGAGAATAAAGGTAAACCTAACAAAAAGCACACAGATCAATTTTACCTTACGTAAAAATGTCAGTCCTGCTGTGAATATAAATGGAATTCCATTGCTTACCACTGACCCCTTGTGCGTTATCTTGGACTTTTCATGGATAAACGACTGACTTGGAATCCCCATGCAAGACTGAAAAGACAGCAACCAAACCGATGTTAAATTGTTAAAAAGACTACTCGACTCACGATCAACATTAGACCTTGAAAATAAACTTTTAATAGAAATATGATCTCTTAGCTATAAGATCATTACAGTACCTAATGCAGGAATGATAGGCAATTTAAAGGAGATGAGTACATTGAGAAATTTAGGAACAGGAAAAATTTCGCTACAGTAAGAGAATAAACGATTTATTAGGGTTTTTTAATAAGGATAACTCTAGTTTTCTGTGGAGTGAAATAACTAAGCTATTGAAGAGAAGTATGTCGACTGGGGTAAACCTTTATAAAAAGAGAGCTCTGATGGTCATGCCATGTAAGCTTGGAGTTATGAATAACGCCAAGATTTTTAATTTTAGGACAAAAATTAATGTTGGTACCATTGGTACGAGGAGGGGAAGGCAATCTTATTAGTGGGTTTATTGAAAATTAATAAAGACTGGGATTTAAAAGCAAGTTTAATTGTGGAGCTATTAAGTTCAAGACAGAAAGGAATGTATTATTAGGATGATTAAGATGTAGCATTGAAAATAGGGTCCTAATTTAATTTGAATTGAGGTTGGTTTCAATGATTGAGAGGAAATAGAGTGTAATTTACGTACATTCTATGTACCGAGGTGTAAACTTAGAAATTGAAATACAAATTGTTAAAAAGTGCATGCTATGAGCAGAAACGATGAGGTTGAGTATTGGAAATTGTTAATACATGAAGGATTCTTAGTGGAACATAAATCAATTAAGGACTAGAAATAAGGAAAAACATGTGTTGGGCAAGCAGGAAAGATAGAAAGATTGAATGCAGAAAACATATTACAGAGTTGGGTTTGAGTACACAAAGGTTGAAACCACTAACGAATATGACATCATAGTCACAACTAAGGATGGAACGGCCATTCTCAACTTGAGTAATAGGGGTATACACGATGTTTGTAAGATAACTCGAATAGAGAATTGTACCGTAAGATCGTGACTGCTCCTTCTTTTCATAGCATGTTATACGTTAATGTTTCCACAATGCTGCGCGATCGTAGAACCAAAAATAAAGGTATAACAGTTTTTGAAGGCTTGTTGTTGTTTGTAACACAAAACTCTTTTAAACTAAACTTTTAACTTAAACTTCTGTAAACTCTTTTCTTTTTGAGTTAAATTGTAAGATGCCAGAAGTTAATAAAAAAGGAAAATTAATCAACTTTTTCATTCTGAATGCTATCTATGCACTCGAAAAGTACTAACAAATGACACGCTTCAATTCGTGCCAACATACCCAACTCGTATCCTACCGTTTAATAGCCTACAACTTTATAGGATAGGATATGTATCTACTTTGAACGAGAGTATAAGCAAGGTCAGAAAATAACAAAAGAATGTATTGGTATGATTTAATTAATGCGTATTTAAAAATAAAAATAAGTGTAAACAAAAAAACAGCTGTTAAATTCATGGCTGCCATGTTGGTTACCTACGCCCTAACGGATATATATTTTCAACCTAACCTCTAACATTGCCCCTGGCCTATTAGATCGAGCAATGTTAACGAACCGATTCTTACAAGTGTACGTCATCATTTTTCTCGATCCAACAGATTAACAGTTAACAGCGTTTACACAAGATCATGAAGTCCCCTAATATCAGAGAATTGAAAGGAGGACCGTAGACATATGCAATAAAAATTGTATTCTGCGTACAACTTCTACAAAAAGATACTCAAAAGTCAGTAGACATATTTTATACGAAGGGCTTGGTTCAATGTAAATGCCAACTCCGGCACCTTTTTGTGTAATCTATCATTTCTTATAAATGTATATTCCTGAATGTCAATCTGCCTAGAGGGTGTGTTTGGCTCAGATAGGTTTATGAAAGTTGGAACATTTGAACCTTAATAGTATAAATTATTAGGAAAGTTTTTGCAAAAACTTTGAGCAGTGAAGTAAACAAAAGTAAAATTTGTACTGGGAGATATGTAAGATATAATTCATGTGCACATACAGGGACAAATCCAAGTGAAGATATTGACGGCTAATAAATTAGGGACGAGTGAAAATGCAAGTTGAACTATTTCCCATTAGTAAAAAATATTACGTACCTACTTTGAATTTCTGCTGCGTTGAACTTTTTTAGAATTTCCTCTGTCTGCTCGTACATCTCTTTACCTTCTTTTAAACGGATTTTAATGTTTCTCAGCTCATCGTGGTAGGCCTTCGTTGTTTCCCCAAACGATTCAAAAGCCATTTTCAGCTTGGCCAGGTTCGATTGTTCCGTTTCCAAAGACCCCGGAGCATCAGTTGACAGCCTTTTCAGATCCTTTCTCGACACGGTACTACAAGACCAATTAAAATCATTTCCTGTAGGTAAAAAATAACAATAAATGTCGGTTGTACGTTTGAGAGTTTAGCGGTTCGTCTCGGACTGGTTCTTCCAAAGGCGCAGCAAGGCTTTGCAAGGAAGAAGTCTGCTTGCACATCTGATTCGAGAAATTGTTCATTGTTGCGACCGAAACAACTTATATTTTAAAAAATCTTTAAAACCAAATGAATACTATTTTCTACAATTGTCACATCTGCTTAAAAATATATATGCATAAAAAATAAAATAAACATATGACTTAGTTCTGCTTACTGACGTGGGCGTTTACAGGAAATTGCATTCTGTGCCATATTTCACGAGTGAAACTGCCGTTGAGGGCATCAGGATTTAGCGAACGTCACAGTGATTCATGACCACTTTTAGTGTATTAGACGAGAGAATCCGAGCACGCGGAATAATCCACAAGGGAAGCCGATAATGCTGCAAGGAAGCATCTATAAATTAGTAGTCCTACCTCAAACCTCTCGATATACGTATTTCAACGGACATTAAAATTAAATAAATCGTTCACTTTAAAAAATACCTATTTATTTTTATAACTGATTTGTTAAAAACTACATAAAATATGCCAATTATTAAATTTGCTCATTCCTGATAAACAAAAGTACAACCAACACAGAAACCAATTTATACCAATAGCAATACAGAAACTTGAGATTAATCTCTAATTTGACACAATCCATTCACCTAATTTCAACATATTATTACTAATAAATTATAAATTAATTTAATATTCTATACAAATTACGACGGTTGGTCCTCCATATTTTTTAATTCAGCTTCTTTAATTGTCAAGTTGTTTTCAATATTAAAAAATTTAAATTAATTACTGGGTACTGATAAAACTGCATAATCGAGAGAATTACTACTTGCCCATATAAAAAAACAAAACTCACCAATTCATTAGGACAGTAATAAATTTTGTCATTAACTTTTAATAACATTTGCAACCGGATTTATGACGTTTTAAGTTAAAATTATCGAAAGAGTATTAAAATATTAAAATGATATATTTGAGAAATATTCATACTTGCATTTGTTTATAATTTTAAAAGTTTATTAAAATTTTAGTTTATTATAATCTTAATGAATGTTTCAATAAATTTTAAAAACATTTATTTAAAATTTATATATTATTTTACTTATTTTTGAAAACTTAATAGGTTTAAGTAAAACCATCTCTAACCTTTCGTAAATGGGCAAGAATAACTGGGTTCATCGATCAGTGTCGATCATTTCAAAAACATTCATTCCCAAGCCAAAAACCATTTCTAAAACCAAATTTTCCAAACTGTACAGAAAAGGTTTGTGTTATACGAATGTATTTCGCATTTCTTTCTTTGTTAAAAACTACTTGCCATCATGATTATTGAAATCCTTCTACTTTATGCTGCCATGTACGAATCGGTTTTTCTTTAATCAACGCGATTCCCGATAGGCAAAATTTCAGTTCGAAATGTCAGCATTTAGAGTAATAGACGATTCTGTTTACCACTCGAGATCTCTTTACGAGGAAATTTCACCCCGCGCTGATAGTCGGAAGGGGCGGTAGAGCGGTTAGGGTTTGGCGTCGGTCCAACCCCTTTGTAACCCCTCTACGCCTATGCTGTGAGCCGTTTACTATCTTCCCTCTAACAACATCCTCCGATTAAGTCACTGTTATTATTATTTATTAATGATTATTAATGACGCAGGGAATCGACACGGGTTTGTCGACTTGATCCACTGATGCCTACACCTGTGAACTTTATTGTTCGTCTGTACCGTTTTCTTAATTCTTTTTTCTTTTTCCTGGTTATACCCAGGCGATGGGACGTCAGTCCTTTTTTATCGTGAAAGAAAATGTAGGATCGTCATCAAATTCAATAAAATTCATCAATAAAAAATGACGTGAAGGTATATTAAAGAAATTTCTATTTTAATTATATTTTCAACAATTTATAATGTAAAACGACTTATGATGCAACTTAGCTTTTGTATTTATTGGCTTGCAAAGGAAGTAGTGGTTTCATCATTACTGCCCTCTCTAATGGTTGGATATGTTTCTAGACTGTTTTATGATTGTTCGATGATTTCTTCAACTGCTGAATACCTTTATGAAATTTTACCAACGATATCGAGAAAAATTTTTTTCGTATTTAACAATACAAATAAACAAGACTAGTTCCTGAAACCTCGTAAAGTCCTATGACTCCCCGAGGAAATACGGGATTGTCAAGAAGTGACATAAATGGGAACTTATGGGGGGAGTATCCGTAAATTTATTAACGATTTATGAGTGATAGTAAATGTAGAGTTTGATTGGGAACAAGACTATCGGAAGAATATCCTCAAGTAAATGGAATCCCCCAGAGACCGGTACTTACCGTGTCGCTCTTTGGGTTAGCTATAAATAATATAGCGGACAAAATAGAAGCGTCTGAACTTAAATCATAAATATCTACGACCTAAATATTCTATTACGCGTAACAGACGTAGATGATGTTGCAATGAAAACACAAGGGGCGATAAACGCTGTTGTTACATAGCGTAACTAGCGTAATAAGCTGAAGGTGTAGGATTTACGTTCTCGAGGGCCAAGACATAAGTACAAGTATATTTCTGTAGGTTGAGGAGTGAGCATAACCATGACGGAGTGACGTCGAATCAATCAGATACCTCAGCTTGATATTCGATTGAAAACTATGGTGGTAAACATATATAGATCGTACAGCATCCCAAAGCAGGAAGGCTCTCAATGTCATGAAATTCCTAAGCAACTATAAATGGGAGCAACAAGGGAAGTTTTACGGACTATATTTAAATCACTGGTGTGCACTAAATTAAATTATGGTTGCATGGTTTACTTCACGCAAATAAGAGTGGTGTGAAATTCGAAAGAGTTATAGCGAACTGTAAATACTTTCAAAACAAAGAGACATATTTGTGGAAATAATACCTCTCTTGACAGAATTCCTAACGAATTCTATAATAATTCCCCGCCTGTCTTTCATGAATACCTTCTACAGGTTTTTAATTCTGTACTTGCCTAAGGTCTCACTCATCCATCCTTTTCGAAATCAATAATTTTTTCTATTCAAAAGTGGCGACGTCAATGATGTAAATAATTACAGAGGGAAGAAGCGTCGGCGGCCGCAACGGTTTCGGCGTGGACAAGGCGTTCATCACTAAGGTAAATGTTCTGGGTTCGAATCCAGCGGCCCCGTTCGAACCCGACAGATTTATAAATGGGCTTTTTTCAATAACACCGTATCCTGAGGGTTTATGTAACCTCTGCTGCTGCGAAACCTTACAAAAAAGTGTACAATTTCAAAGTAGAATTAATCAACAATAAGTATTGGTCGCGTACGGTTCGTTTAACTATTAATACAATGTACTGCACGCTTTAAGAGCTGTTGTATCCCCGGTTCTGTGCCTATAGCACACCGGTGAGTCCTATTTCATCAAGGAATTTGAGTAGTAGGCCCAGTTTCAGTGGTTGATTTTCTTCTACAGTCACATTGTACGTCCCAAAGCACTTCCTCCTGCGGGCATGTGTCGCGCCACAGTTTGTTAATAGGTGTGTTCGTGCCTCCTGTGCTTCTTGTCATGTTGGGGTATACCAATCTTCTTTAAATGTCCTTTTAGATTGCAGTGTCCTATTAAGAAGCCCGTTAGGATTCTTCATACGTTCTATTACTTCTTTTCTTCCGAAATTTTTTAAGAGGTATTAGACACAATTTTTCAATTGTTATTCGTTTTTTAATTTTCTTCTTCTAGATGACTAACCATTATTTCTATAAGATTTGCTATATAATACATATATAATATAATCTCTGCTATATTTGATCAAATATATGGGGGTTTTACTTTCATAATATTTCAACTTGGTTAATTACCAATTTGGTTGGTTTTACTTTCTTATTCAACCAACGATCCAATTCAAGATTAAACCTAATTTTGCGTTGAGGCTACACGAATGTTGTTCAGAGAGCTGAGTACAAGGTTTTAATTACATCAAAGGCCATGGGGAGTTTCACAGGCGAACAGGTTGAAGGAATCGTTAAATCAAAGGGAGTCACGGCCCAAGTAGTGTTTTCATTAATTTAAATTAGAATCTCTTTACACCTGCCAGTTTTGGATTGAAACTAGATTTCTATGCAAAAAATTTCTTGTTTATATATAATTTCTATTCTTTCTCTAGTATGAATCTAGTTAGGGAGTCAGGAAAGGAGATGAATCATGATTAAGACTCTTCTTTGGAAATTGATTTGTTTCATCACTCAACCGGATCGATGAGATAGGAAAAAATCAGAAGTAAAAGTCCCAGACCCTCGATCCCTTCCGTCGGCAAAAGGGAGTCGCCCTTCAGATTTATCGCCTCTGTTTAGTGTTAAGGCAGTCTCAAAGTGGTCTTGAAAGGAAGTCGACTTTGGGGGGAGCAGATGGAATGGTACAACTAAAACAGATCGCGTTACACAACCGCCGTCGTCAACAGATCCGACATTGATCTTGTTACAGGATGTTTAAGCGGTGATTTATCTTCATGCCTGAAGAGGTTTCACTACACGGTCGACGGCCCGCAGCAAAGCCAGATATCCGTTTAATTTTATACGTCTTGACACCTCGCCAAATTTCATTACAGACAGAAATATATTTCCAACTGTGGAAAACGTATGATTAAGATAATGCTTAAACATTTTCAACATCGTTTGAATGATTCGAACCTCATTATTAATGGTTAACCCGTTATTTATTTCTCAAATTTGGAAAAAGAAAGAGTGAACGAGAGAGAGAGCGAGAGAGAGAGAGAGAGAGAGAGAGAGAGAGAGAGAGAGAGAGAGAGAGAGAGAGAGAGAGAAAGAGTGAGAGATAGGCGAGAGAAACAGGGAGTGAGATAGAGAGAGAGGATAATGAGAGAGAGAGAGAGAGATGATAGAAAACGATTTTTTTTAATTTTCAATAATAAATATAAAATTACGTTTAAAAATAAAATTTAGTTTCTTGTTGAGTGGCCCTAACGGCGCAAAGTGCAACAGTATGGCGAGACTCAGATGACTTATAGGTTTAATTTAGCGAACATCACTGGATGGTAGCCGTTAAAATCAATTATGCCATACAATAATAAATATTTTGTATGTGCATGTATATATGTATATCACTGTAATGACATAATTTTTGCTTGTTGCATTTTGTATGCAGTTGTATAATAAACAAATAAATGAAAAAAAGATGAACATTTACATAGAAGC